GGGAGAAAGATGAGGCTTTCTGCTCCCGTAAAGATATACAGCCATGGAAACCCTGTGCAGGGTCGCTGAGTCAGAAGCAACTCCACGGCACCCACCATTGGAAGTATATCACCAGGTCTTTCCTCCAAGACACCTCTCGGTGGATTTAAATAGATTATTATATAAGAAATATAAGTAGCTGAACACTTATATTTTTACTCTGCACCCAATCCAAAATAGAACTTGCTTATTAACTTCGTTAATGGAATCAATATTGGAGCAAACTTAAATTCAAAGTCTTTCAATTTACTCTTGTTTAGCCAGAAAACTGATGAAAAAGAAGGGCAAAGTATGTAGCTCACTGTTTTTTTCTCTTAGAAGAGAGTTTTTGGTGCCTCTGAAAGACTATATTGGGGATTCATATTTTCTGATAAAAAACATGAAAATGGTGCTATTGTAAGGTGCTATCAAATTGGTTCCGACTCACAGTAACCCTGTGTACAACAGAATGAAACAATGCCTTATCCAGTGCCAGACTCAAAACTGTTCCTATATGTGAGTCTACCATTGCAGCCACTGGGTCAATGCATCTCACTAGGAGTCTTTCTCTTTCTCTCTTATCCTCTACAAAGCATGATGTCCGTCTCCAGGGACCAGTCTATCCTGATAACAAGTCCAAAGTACATGAGAAATCTTGCTATCCTCACTTATAAGGATCATTCTGGCTGTCCTTCTTTGTTTGTTCTTCTGGCAGTCCATGTTATATTCAATATTTTCCACCAACACCATAATTTAAAGACATCGATTCTTCTTCAGTCTTCCTTATTCATTGTCTAGCATTCACATGCACATGTGACTGAAAATACCATAGCTTGGGTAGGAGGCACTTTAGTCTTCAAAGTGACATGTGTGCTTTTCAACACTTTAAAGAGTTATGCAACAAATCCTTTGACTGCTACTTCATGGGCACTAATTATGTATCCAAATAAAACGAACTTCTTGACAACTTCAATCTTTTCTTC